TAGGGTTATCCCAGGAGCAAATCAACAAAAACGCTCGAATCAGATGGGAAATCTGGAGTCTTTGCTGAATGGACCTAATGATTATTCAGTGGAATACAATATGTCTGATAGCAAATGGGCAGGAGTTTAAAGGATTTATAAAAGACCTTGGGGGAAAAGACAGATGTTATATGCATTCAAGAAACATGGCTTAGGTCAACATTAGAGTTTGTAATGAAAGGTCACGATAATATCTACCATGATAGAGGAGAGGGCAGTGGGCAGGATGGATACAATTTGTGAAACACGGAAGTAGAGTTTTTACAATCCTTGTAGAAGGCTTTCATTACAAATTAAAAGGAAAAGTTATTGGCTAATGTAAAGAAAACGGTTGAAATGCAAAAATATTTTATGGAGGAAACTTTGTAATTCAGTTGGAAGAGACAGAAATGGAAAAGATATGGGTAGTGATAAGAAGAATGAATAGGATCAGGATATCCAACCACAGCTAATGGTGAAATTACAGCTGTAACAGACAGTAAATTGTTTGTATCTTCATTTTGCATGTGAGCTTGGGGTTTGAACTTCAACAAATGTTTGTAAGTATTCCATTTACAAAGGCAGAACTGAATTGTGCTCTTAGGAAATCAAAGATGTGTCCACAAGGAGAAGACCAAATGTGTTATGTGAATATAAAATCATCCTGACTGAGACATCTAAAGACATCTTACTACTTTATAATAACATATGGGAGAAGGGAAAGTTGAGCAGAAAAACTTTTTTCTATTTATTGAAGATATCTAGAGGCATTTGTCAGAGCATTTAGAGGAAACATGATAACTGAAGACCCAACCTTCTCATTTGGTTTACTTGGTGCCTGACTTTCCCGCAAGCTATCATAGTGTATAATTAACTTGTCATTATACTTGTTTTTCGTTTGCTGTATCGAGCTCTAAGGACAACCTTAACAAACAAACACCCACCATCACTTCACTGTAAATATTTAACTGTGTAATACAGTGATGAAAGTGGACCTAACAGCGATAGTGTTTCTCAACGTGGGTGTGCCGAGGACAATGGGGGGTGCTGGAAGCAATATTTTGGAAAGGGGGCGCTGAGCTGCTTTTGGGGGGGCGTTTGTTGGTTGGAAATTCTAAGGCGAGTTTACACTTAAGATTCACAACAATACGAGTTTAAACTTTAAACTACTTGCAAAAACTATGGTCCTTTAGTCCACTGCGACTGGACGAGACTGTGTATATTTTACTTGTGGTGCAGCTTCGTGCTGCCTTCACGGGGGGGGGGGGGGGGGGGGTCAGGGGGGGAAGTCAGAGCATCATCTCTAAAATTTTACCCACATGACCTTTACTGTGTAAACTTTGGAAAATTGACGCACTCTTGGTGGAAAAGTTTTTATTTCTCTGAGGAATACACAGTGAACGTCTTGTTAATGCAGTGGTTACACATTTATAAGAGGGATATTCCGCTGTCGGACTTACCCTGAAAGCAACTTCGCTGCGACACCAGCGAATGACGTGGACCCACCTCGCGCTGTGAGTCGCAGACAGTTTGTGCCAAAGCGGACAGTTTCAGTAGGCTATAAAATGTAACGTTAAAAACTGAAGCCCTGTCTTGCTCTGTTGGGGGTTGTAAGCGGCACTTTATCAGAGGTGCTGAAGTAGTAAAATATAATAAATTCTCTTTAAATAGACTAATGACGTTAGTCTCCCATTACGCCTTTTTCTTTAGACAGAGAACACAGATACATGGGAGATATTCTGAATGTGCAAAAAGTTTTGAACATGAGCAGATAAATTACAGTGTTTCCCATACGTTCATTTATTTGTGGCAGCCTGCCATAATATCAACGCTGACCGCCACATATTGATTTTCGATCGTATTTGAGCTGCAGGCAGCGCGTATTCGCGCAGCACATCCTCTCGCTCGTCTCTCTCATCCGTCCTTTGATCTCTCGCTCTCTCTCCCGCATGAACACAGCTGCACAAATCTGTCCAACACAACGCTGTCAATGTCGGAGACCCAGCTATTAAAACTTATTAGCAAGCATGTAAGGAGCTAATAAGGAGAGCTAAGTTAATGTTAGAATACAGCTGGGTTTTCGAGGCTAGCGTGCTGTATATAGCTGCGCCACAGTTAGTCATTCTGTGGGATAAGTTATTAACAGATGAGCTAATAAAGTCCAGTCAATAACTGAATTAAAACGGATGAATTTATCATTGAGATGAAAAGGGGCCACAAACACATTTAAATAGGTTACTTCCCCACAAAAGTGGAGGTAAGACTTAATCATGTGTGTTGACTTAGCAGGGATGATATTAAATAAGTTGATCTACAGGAGAAAATTATTTAAAAGCAATAAGAATGCCTGAGGGCCTCACTACATCATATTCTATTATAATTATATATTTTGAATTGTTATCTGCCACTTAAATTTTTAGACATTTCCACCATATATTGGTGCAAAAAAGGCAGAAATTGGAGGAGAAATGTTCACCAGAATGCAGGATAAGTGTTTAATGCTCAAAATCTTCTGGGGGAGGACCCCCATACCCCCCACTTATTAAGTGCCCCATCAAAGAAAACAGTAGCTGGTTTCACACACAGTTTCTGGGAGGAACATTCACTTATTAGTTAAATATAATTACTTTTCACATGGCTTTTTTTGTTACCTTTTCCATGTTTTTAATTTCAATAGTAACACTAAAAAAAATCAACAATATTCAGGGCAAATAGCAAACTTCTTTTTTCATTGGGGGCGGTAAGTGACCTGGATAATGGATAGGGGGGCGCTGGCCCAAAAAAGGTTGAGTACCACTTGCGTAGAACAAAAGGACATCTGTTACAATGCCGGGACACAGAAAATGAGACTTATATCCATGAATGTACAGGTGCTGGTCATATAATTAGAATATCATCAAAAAGTTGATTTATTTCAGTAATTCCATTCAAAAAGTGAAACTTGGATATTATATTCATTCATTACACACAGACTGATCTATTTCAAATGTTTATTTCATTTAATTGTGATGATTAAAACTGAAATAATGAAAATCCTAAATTCAGTATCTCCGAAAATTAGAATATTACTTAAGACCAATACAAAAAAGGATTTTTAGAAATGTTGGCCAAGTGAAAAGTATGAACATGAAAAGTATGAGCATGTACAGCACTCAATACTTAGTTGGGGCTCCTTTTGCCTGAATTACTGCAGCAATGCGGCGTGGCATGGAGTCGATCAGTCTGTGGCACTGCTCAGGTGTTATGAGAGCCCAGGTTGCTCTGATAGTGGCCTTCAGCTCTTCCGCATTGTTGGGTCTGGCGTATCGCATCTTCCTTTTCACAATACCCAATAGATTTTCTATAGGGTTAAGGTCAGGCGAGTTTGCTGGCCAATTAAGAACAGGGATACCATGGTCCTTAAACCAGGCACTGGTAGCTTTGGCACTGTGTGCAGGTGCCAAGTCCTGTTGGAAAATGAAATCTGCATCTCCATAAAGATGGTCCAGCAGGAATCATGAAGTGCTCTAAAACTTCCTGGTAGACGGCTGCGTTGACCTTGGACCTCAGAAAACACAGTGGACCAACACCAGCAGATGACATGGCACCCCAAACCATCACTGACTGTGGAAACTTTACACTGGACTTCAAGCAACGTGGATTCTGTGCCTCTCCTCTCTTCCTCCAGACTCTGGGACCTTGATTTCCAAAGGAAATGCAAAATTTACTTTCATCAGAGAACATAACTTTGGACCAGTCAGCAGCAGTCCAGTCCTTTTTGTCTTTAGCCCAGGTGAGACGCTTCTGACGCTGTGTCTTGTTCAAGAGTGGCTTGACACAAGGAATGCGATACGTCTGTGCGTGGTGGTTCTTGAAGCACTGACTCCAGCTGCAGTCCACTCTTTGTGAATCTCCCCCACATTTTTGAATGGGTTTTGTTTCACAATCCTCTCCAGGGTGCGGTTATCCCTATTGCTTGTACACTTTTTTCTACCACATCTTTTCCTTCCCTTCTCCTCTCTATTAATGTGCTTGGACACAGAGCTCTGTGAACAGCCAGCCTCTTTAGCAATGACCTTTTGTGTCTTGCCCTCCTTGTGCAAGGTGTCAATGGTCGTCTTTTGGACAGCTGTCAAGTCAGCAGTCTTCCCCATGATTGTGTAGCCTCCAGAACTAGACTGAGAGACCATTTAAAGGCCTTTGCAGGTGTTTTGAGTTAATTAGCCGATTAGAGTGTGGCACCAGGTGTCTTCAGTATTGAACCTTTTCAAATTTTCTGAGTGAATGTACACATTATACAAGTTTCACTTTTTGAATGGAATAACTGATATAAATCAACTTTTCGATGATATTCTAATTATATGACCAGCACCTGTATTGCCCCAGTGCATGCTGGGAGGGTTTCCAATACATCTACCTCATGAAAATGCATCACATCAGCACTCAGCCAATCATATAAATGCTAATCATGGTTTCAAACTTCTACTCATTCAGCCTTTATTTCAAAATAAGAGCGCACTGTTACTAAAGATAACTTCATTCAGGTTGAGCACAGTCTTAATCATTGTCCACAAACTTTTCAAGCTGTTTTACAAAAGTGTTACTGTATAAATACTTTAGTTTGAGTCCAAATTGACAAAACATTCCAAACTACTACTAATGCTTCTCCACTTTAAGCATCTCATCCAGTTTTACTTTGATTTTTGCATCAAAACCTTAATGATAAAAATGATGAAAAATGTCACCTAGTCCTGAAAGTAGGTATAAGTATAATATTAGGCGTTTGAAAAGGTACAAGCTAGTGTACACAACAATAGACCCTATAAAATTACACATAACATGAGAAATATGTTTTTAAAAAATGTATTTGTATGTTTTGGAGGCATACGTTTGTATGATTACCCCCTGCAGCATGTAGTCTGCAGTTCAGCAAGGCATATTAGGTACAACCTTGTCTTTAAGAATATTGCAACCTTGGCAGAAATAAATATCAGGCAAAAGTTAAAGTGCAAATTTTCTTTTTATTCTGATTTCATTTTACAGCAGAAATTATGTAAAGCATTCAGAAGACATTTTCCACATATAAGGGCAATATTCAAAACACTTTGCATGGCCTCAGCAACAAAATATTCTTTTAAAAACATCAACAATTTAGTGATGTCTGTGCATGCACGTTTGTAAAACAAAGTAAAAACTAGGCTACAAAAAAAAGAGGAATGAAAGACTGAGATAGGCATGGAGAACACAACAGCAGGCAAGGTGGGAATACAGCAGGAAATGAGAGAGAGAGAGAGAGAGAGAGAGAGAGAGGGAAGACGGCGTGAAAGAAGAGGAAGGCAAGAAGAGGTCTAGCCATAGATTATCTATAAGGGTCTACCATTCTAGCATGCAATGTGGTGTTTGGCCACGCCCCCTCTCAAAACAAGGCCTGAAAGGTAATACCACTAATTTCTAGGCGGACTTATGAGAACAGAGGCCATCTCTGCGTATGTCTACCAGCTGTCTACTATGGCAATAATTCTTTATTTTATTTTTTACTTTTTCTACTCTACATACTCTTTTTACAGTCACCATCCTCTCCCAAAACATTTTGATGTATTTTCTGCAATCTGTGTGTCTAGTTTTGTGTGTGTGTGTTTACTGTGTGTGTTGACAAGCCCAAGCATGTGAACGCTGGAGTTGTGTCTGTCTGTGTGTGTGTATACAATAGATATAAAGGAGTCCAAAGCAGAGTTCTTTGTGACTTTAGTTGTGCTGATGTGAGAGGAGGGGGCAGTTTAAGAGGAGGTTCAAGTGATACCGTAGCATGAATGCTCCTGACAGCACTGTCCTGACCATGGCTGTCTGTCAGTATGATGAAAATTCAGAAAACATGTGAAACACACATAATAGAGATCTTCCAATTGTCAATCTTTCACTATATTATCTCTTGCAACATTTTTTTTAAATTAAGAAAATTGAGGTGACACGTGGCCGTTAACCTATTTTTGCATTATTTAACAATTGTTTGTATTAAGAATCTTGTGCGTTTAAGACAAGAGCAAGTGTACAAATAGAGATATCACTTCTTACTTGCTTAGAATTTAGTTTATATTCAAACAAAATCCTATAAAATCCGGGATTTGGAGATTTTTTTTCCTTGTAGAAAAAGTGACCCAAACACAGCTTGGGTGAAGCATACGGTTCACATTTTCTTCTTCACAAAATGAGACGTCATCAAAAACGTGATTTGATGATTCATAGATACTGATTAGTGAATGAACAACTGGAGTATCCCTAGCATACACAAATATGTACACATACGTATGCACACACAAATGTACACAGTCACCAGTAGTGTTACAACTCTGTGTCAGCGTTCGTTACACTCCACATACCATCTCCCTGTTCTTCAACCCTGAGTAAAATCTTAGGGAGAGATTTAATTGTTCCCAAAGACATAAGCACAGAGAGAAAGTGTGTGGTTTTATTTTGTGTGTGTGTGTGTGTGTGTGTGTCTGAATGTGTACATTTGTGTATGATTATGTATGTGTGCGCTTACGTGTGTGTGTGTTTGGTGTGTGTGTGTGTGTGTGTGTGTGTGTGTGTGTGGAGAGGGTGAGTGGAAAAGAAAGACAAAGAAAGAAAGTGTGTATGACAGCTATTTTGTCCTCTGGAAAACTGCTGGGTTACGCTTTCGTTTACATGCCGCAAGAACATATTTTGAGGAAAGACAGACATTGTGAGTCCATGCAAGAAAACACATCTTCATCCCAGCAGCGCCACATGCCACTGGGACGCTGAATAGACTCGTGACAGTGTCTTCCATACACAGAGGCTGAGTTCTACGGTTTTCTTGTTCTAATACTGCACAACTGACACACAAGTGGGGCATAAAGTGATACTGTAATTAGTGGTTTGTCTTGTAAAGCAACACACAGGCATCAATCAGGCCATGAGCATTCATTCATTCCACTGACAAATTAGAGCTTCAAACTTAGACTCGGATCAAGTTTAACACTGTCAAGTTCATTTTCAACACACAATTTAGGAAAATAAACAGGTAACTGGCAACCTTTTGGAGGACATACAATAGATATTTCCTGATATTAGCTTGCACTTTTCTGTTATTGAGCAGGCACTTTCTAAACAGAGCTTTCCAGAAGTCTAAAGTACACGTCGTACAATAATGGCAGTGACAATGAAGAGAAAAGAAAAATCAAATGATATGTAAAAAAGTTTTGACTGGAGGCCAGGCTGGATCCGCTGTAGGTGTGATTAATGCTCTTAATAAAAGCTAGTACGTTGCTGAAGCACAACCACATTGTAAAGAATGTAGCGCCCTCTTCCCTTTTTTTTTGGATCATCATTCATTGCATTCATATTAAAACAACCATCGTCTTCATCTCCATTAGTATAATTTTCATACTTGCATCATCACCATCACCATCTACACGTAAGTCAGCCGTAGACAAACTGCAGAACTTGTCGGAGGTCTACGGGTTGAGCTAGAGCTAGATCTCTTCTACTGTTTATTGTCTGTGTGTGTTGCCGCGGTGGATCTTACTGATATCTTTTGGGCGTTGGTTTCCCCAACGTAACATATTGTTAGGCAAAATAGCATTCATAATAATTGGCACTACTGGCAAAAGGGTTTAATTTTTGCTAGCCAAGAAACAAAAGCACAAAGTGTAAATGTTTTGTCTGAAAGATCATTGTTTCAGCTAACTTTGTTTTCCCACTTATAATTCTAACATTAGATTTTTCAGTTGCATGCTTTAACAAAATGTTCTTTTCAGTAACACTTATACTGGATACTCTTAAAGTGAAGCAGTTAAAATCCTCTCATAGTCCATAGCCACTAACGTGTTCTTTTTGCTGTTTCTTTGTCTTAAATCTCATGCACAATACTCCGTTTGTAATATCTACATTATTTACAAGCAATACAGCCATCCTGTGTACCCAGGTCTCTGTCTTAAGTTCTCATTATGGGAGTAAAATAATTTATAATCTTAAATACAGTCCTCTTATGAAAAAGTTTCAGGGTCCTCGTATCCCCTTACCTCGTCAGTTTATATACAGGAATATGCAATAGTCCAAAATATGGATTTGATCGCCCATACGGGCTAATATGGGGACCAATGCCCTGTTATAGGGGCAGGTATAGGACCCATGTCCTGTACAGAGCACGCATAGAGACCTCTCAGAGTCAAGAAGAAGTCAAGGCAATGGTATGTGACTCTCTCCTCAAAACCACAGTTAGGATTTAGAGGTTCACGCAAAGAACAAACTAACAGAGACATTTAACCATTGGAACATGTCATATTTTACCACACAAGGGGGGAAAACCAGTCTCAAGCTAAACCACTCTTGAGCCAATTAAATAAATAATTAGACCCCTGAATAAATAAAGTTTTAAAAAAAAGCACCCAAAATAAGTCATTTGTCCTTACACAGTTCACATTACACAGGGCAAGGATAAGTTGATGAGGACGCAAGTGAGACACAACTACACATAGAAATACAAAAGAAACAACACTAAAGCAGTTTGGCAAGCATGCAGGAGCTCGTGGCTCAAACACATGCATTGAATTGAACAAACACGGACACACCACGTCAGGCGAGCAAAGTGCTGCCTCTGAGAACGACTCCATACAAAGTCCATGTAACAAATTAAGACATCGTTATTCAGACCCCCACCATTATCTAACAATGCCCCTCTTACATTCAAGTGCAGTTCCTCCCCTTTTGATTGGGTGACTGATTAATAGGTTTGTAAGCCTGTGAGTCAGAGTGGTTGGTGGGATTGTGATATACTGATTCAGCTGAATGATTTGCCACTATAGCTCTTCGGGATGATGGAGAGGAGGAATAAGCGAAGAAACCTTGCATGCAAATGCAACATAGAAGTGAGTTTTTTGGTTTATGTTTTCTTATTCTTTCATGGATCACTGTTTGGATACAAAACGCAAAAGGTTTTGTATGTTTTTCCGCTTGTAAAAGTAGCCTTTATCTAGAGCCAGCTGTTCATCACCGGAGCCTTTCAGTGCATCCAGTCGCTGCCGTGAACGGCAGGATGTTGGCATCAGGCGCTTCCTTCGCGTCCTCCCGTCTGACTCGTCGACTTGCTTTTGCAAAGAAACATACCCATGAAGAGTGCAAAGAATGCCATGAGGTTAATGTGATGGCCTCCCAGTGAAACTGTGGAGGAGGATCAGTGCTGTGGGCAGAGCCAGGTCCCTGGGCTCTACCCAGCAGTCTGTCTGTCTGAGCTGCCATGATGGACACCTATCCTGTCCTCAGTCTGTCTGGGAAGAGTTTTTTTTCCCTCTTAAGAGAAGAGGGGAGAAAGGGTGAGAGATAACGAGGGAGGAGAGGAAAGAAAAAGGCAAGATAAGGGTTTGGGGAATGGAAAAGGGAAGTAGCTTTTGGGAGGATGAAAGAAAAGAATAAGGAGAAGATGGGAGGGGAGGGTTTATAGATTGCTCACAGGCTGAGGGGGCTGTGTGTGGGGCCTGGCGGTGGGCTCTCAGGACCCCTGGCCTTTCTCTGCTCTCTGGCCCTGGGAGAAAAATAAACACACATTAGAGGCAAACTCAGAGAGGGTGTTTTATTTTTGTGCGTTGACAGTGCATGTCTGTGTTTTTTTATATCCAAAGGCCATACTGAGCAACAGGAAAGTTATTCAACAAACCCCCTGTAATTACCGAAACACACGTGTGCGCACACACACACACACACACACACACACACACACACACACACACACACACACACACACACACACACACACACACTTTCTCTCTCAACCTGTTAACTTCCCCACCCTTCAAGGCACAAAAAAAAGAGACTGGCAGGCCAAGCAAGACACTTAAAGTCCCCTAGTGATGTCAGTCAGAACATGCCCCCAAGAAGACCATAAGCACGATTCGCTCCTCTATCTATCAGTCAATCATGCAGGAGCACCGGCATCATTCAGCAGTCCTTGAAGAGATAGAGAGAGAGAGACAGGGAGGGAGAAAGAGAGAGAGAGCGAGCAAGAGGGAAGGATCATAATCCAGGATCTCCCCTCCCCCTCCCTCCGCTGACATGCAAACAGGCATCAGCCACCAGGAGAGAGGGAGAGACAGAAGAGAGATTGAAGACTCACCCGTTTCAGAGGCCTATGGTCCATCAAGGGGCTTCGCAGGAACAGTAAAACAACACCAACTATTAGAACCAATGTAGTGAGCGCACGTGTGTGTGTGTGTGTGTGGGTAATGTGTATGGTTGTGTGTCTTTGGATGTGTGTGCAGTTTAAGGGTGTATGAAGAGTTGTACGCCTCACCTGTGGCGGCATCGGAGCAGGAACCTCAGGATCTTGCGAGCAGCCTGGTTTTGTTTTTTTGTTAGGAGGCTGCTGTATGCGAAGACACAGGAGTAAGAAAAACCTTCTACATAATTATACCCTTTGTGTGTGTGTGAGAGAGTGAAGTACCTGAGGGAGTGTCTATAGGAGCGGTAGTATTGCTGGATGAGGACCGCTGCTCTACGACTTTGTTGGAACTTCCTCTGCTCATGGAAACTCCGGAAACGACTCTGGATCAGGATGGCTGCCAGGGTCATCCTCTTATAAAGTGCATACTGAGAGAGAAGATAGCAGCGTGTCGTAAACGCTTCCATTACGAGACATGTACCTTTGTAATGTTGAGTCCTGAACACACGGGTATCAGAATTTTGTTTCCAGATTGGTGCAACAGATAAAAGCAAAATCACGAGAAAAAATGCAGTGACTTCAAATGAGTAAACTCAATGTGTAAATATTTGAGCTTTTCTCAAGTGAATGTACAGTGCATTAATGTGAATATACAGTCCTAGCCTAAACCAGATATGTGCGTGTCCTTTCAAAGCATGTTTGTAACATTTTTTTTTGTGCAAAAATCATCATGTTCTCAAGTGCTCAACATCTGCCAAAATAGCTTGTGCAAGTTGTGAAAGCACATTTTAAAAGCGACACCAAGTTTTGCGGTTATGAATGTTTCCCTCTGCAATCTCAAATCATGACCCACAGACGATGCCAGCGTACGAGCTTGTACGCTTAATGGTTTTGTTCATAAATGTCCACAATAGATCATGTTAAGCTGTCTGAAGAGAGTGTGATAAAACGCTCTACAATAAACAGATTTCATGATGTGAACGACTTTGAAGCTTCCGACTTCAATATGTCTTTGCGAATGACATGATTAAGCTGTATGGCTTAATTATAGATTAGTACATTAGAGCCATTACAAAGTTAAAAATGTCAATGCTATTAAAGGAAAGAGCAGTAACAGGATGTAGACAAGCTGCACTTACAGTTTCATTTTACTAAAATCAACTGCTAATTCACAACATTGCTCATCTATTAATGCTTTTATTTCTGGATATCTAATTCAGTACTTAACTGTGGTAGTGAGTTGATACTAGCTGTGTGTTAACTCTTACCTGCTTGTATCTCTTATAGCAGCGCTGAATCACTGCTGCAATCTCTTTGCGTTGTTCCTGAATGGGACCCTGAGGAGAGTGACATTAAGAGTTTGTATAAACAACATACTGTTAAACTGTTCATGGTCTTCTTGGGCAGGTTATTGTGATTTATGATAGAGAGAACTAAAGAGGAAGATAATTTGAACAAATGGTCTTCAGATTATTTCACAACCTCTGGGGCAAACTTGTATGACCATGTATATACCTTGTGTTTTCTGAGGGAGTGCAGAGCATGCCTGATGGTCTCATACAGCTCTCCCTGTTCTGCCTCAGTCATGGCTAGACAGGACGGGTCCAGTTTCAGCCTCTCCTCTTTCATAGCTGCACAGAGGAAGGAGGTCCAGTCAAAGGGGGAGGATGGGGCTTGCTTAGCCTGAGGACTATGCTGATCCTCAGGCCCTGAGAGAGAGTTTGGTTTGGGGCTAGGAGTCTGGGGCTTGAAGTTCAGAAACCTGGAGAAAAGTAGAGAGCAAAGTTTTATAGTGAGAAAGATTTACACTATTGGCTCAGTTAGAGGAAGTCAATTCAGAAATTCTTTGACTCACCTCTCCACCTCACTGAGGTAACCAGACAGTAATCTGACATCACTGCTGATCCCTACGTTCCTGGACTCTGTTTCAGTCTCCACAGCCTCCTGCTTAAGCCTACCAGTTGAAGCCTCCATGATGTGATCAGCTAACATTGTTATGTCCATCTGCAAGACACACAGAGCAGGTGTTACTTACATATTTTTACACCTGGTTTTTTAAAAGTGATCTTTTTAGCATTTATTTTTATACCTATACTGATAACACTCAACTCTACTAGGCACTTAATGGTTTAAGGGGATGACTGCTTATAGGAGGGCAAGTGAAAAATTAATGTTTGTTTTAATTTCCTACTTTATGTCCACACATTATCACGTTATCGGTGGTTTACCCTGAATGCTCACATTAAATGTGTTTAGCTCATACAAAACATACAACAATTTGACCGGAGTCCTTACCAAAACAACAACATTTGATCATGTAATACATCTTCTATCTTCTCTTCATGAGCCCTCTTGTCATGCTAGATGTGACTTCGGGGAACTTCTAACAGTTAGATGGGCCTCCTTTTTTGGGGATTTCATTGCATCATGATGTATACAACCACATGTCTTCCAGTGGTGGCTAATTATATTTCCTAGTGGAAAAAACTGAAGGCATCAGAGCTTTTATTACTGTAACCCCTTTCTTTGAAACATATTTATGGTAGTGAGTAGATAGATAAACGCTCAATTTTCTAAATCTAAATTAAAAACCTTTGTATCTTTATCATTTGGCCAAGCTCAATGTTGCACACTTACAATTAATCAATCTATTCCTTTAATGCAAGGTTTAACCCCTTCCTACTAGGTTCTTGTGAGAATTTAGCATGTCTGCCATGTGTGCACTTACTTGTAAGTGCACTTGATCATTCACATTGGTGTTTTTAGTCTGCCTATGTGGGAGTAACAGAATGGTGAAGATAGCACTGATGCCCCTGCAGCAGGTGCCTTATAACAACAAATTCAGATATAATCAACATGTGATGTAAAAACCCAAACTTCACCCATTATCTGTTTTACTGTTTATGTTAAATGTGTTATCAAAATTTAATCTTACCCCTCTTTGGCCCTTCCCAAGGTTTTGCAAAACATTTTATAACCTAATGATGTTGTCATGGGAGTTTTCCCTCATTCACACCGAGGGTTAACATTTGTGGAGAGTCGTTTTCATAGATTTTTAATGTATTGTTTCATGTATTTTATCACAAACATGGCATGTGCACACAAACTGTATACATTTTCCATCACATACAGTACAAAAAGTTCAGTTTTTGGTTAAGGAACAAGATCAGAACTGCCCCTAACAATCTGTTCCCCCTACCTGCAAGTCCTCTGTGTTATCCTGATAGGTCAGCAGCTCTGTCTCCTCTCCCCTGTCAGACAGCACTCTTTGGCGCAGGTGAATGGCCAGTCGTTCTTTTCCTAGAATCCGCCTGGCTAGGCTACGCTGCCCCAGAGTCTGTCTCAAACTCCACCTGGTGCCCCCTCCAGACCCCCCTATCCTGGCCTGCAGGTGGGAGAATGGAGCGCTGGGGAGCTGAGGCCGGTTAGGGCTGGAGCTGGCAAGAGGTGCGTTCTGACAGCTGAGGTTGGAGGGTTGAGTTTGTAGGGTGTTGGGGAGGAGAGAGCGCTGAGGGTTAGGACTGGGGGACGAGTTGACAAAGGAGTTGAGGGTGTTGGTGCCAGGGGTTGAGTTAGCTAGCTGTTGCTGTGTGTCTGGGTTGGGTTTGAGTCTCTTGGCTGGAGGTGGGCCTCCCTGTTCTCCCTGGGTTCCCTGTTGGACTCTGTGTCCTGTTTGGCTCCAGCTCGGGTTCTGGTTGTCTGGCTGGGTCTCTGCTCTGGCTCTTCTCAGCTCTGGGGAAACAGAGATAGTGAAAAATAAGAGCAAGTGACAACATCAATTCCTACCAAAGTGAATATGCTAAATTATTAAACGGTCAGTTTACTCCAAACACAAAAAATCATATTTCCCACTTATACCCTAAAATATCTAGCAATGGGGATACTGTTCGTTTTCAGACTATCCACAGAGACACAGCTAACCTGGCTATGACCGAAGGTAAAAAAAAATCCGCCTACTATCACCTCTAGAGCTCACAATTTAACACTTTATTTCTTGTTTGTTTCATCTGTACAAAATCCGTAAAACGTAAAAGCATTAATTTGTTGTTTTACGAGGGTTATTTGTCAGATGATTTCTTGGCTGGGAGCAATTTCCAGGCAACCAGCTGAGACTCCAGGAAGTTTCATCCAGCATTTGGATTTTGTTACCTTAGTTTGGACAAAGTCAGACCAGCTGTCCAGTCTTTATGCTAAGATAAGCTAATTGGCTTTCTAAAGTGGATATTTTAAAACAATAAAACTAAAACCACCTGCCAGACTATACGCTACGAATTCTTAGTGGGAAACACTTTTTGGGGGAACTGACCCTTCTACTACCACAAATTCTTCACTGATTGGGATAAACCAAAATAGCAGGCTTTCCCACCTGAGTTAGAGTTTGGTGTAGGGCTGTTGCTTATTCCACTGGTCTGTGACTCTCCTCTCCACCTGTCTATCCAAGTGTCAGCAGGCTGGCCCTGAGCTTGAGGAGTCTGTTGCAGCTGCTCTAAGAGCTCAGCCAATCTAGTGTGGCCCCGGGATCGGGCGATGTTGAGCGGCAAGCGTCCCAGCGAATCAGGAATAGCCAGAGCTCTTGGGTCCCACTGGTAAAGCACCAATGCTGCCTCAGTATGGCCCAGAGCACATGCCCACATCTGAGGAGGCCAAAGGAAAATGCAGATCACACACAGACATGGAAAGAAAGCCACATACACTCAAAACACCATTCAAAAATATTGATCACTCACCAGTGGAGTGCAGGAGAAGTGGTCTACGTTGAGTGGATCTACCTCTAGTTCGAGGTCAATACTGTCGGCATGCTTTGTGCTGCAGAAACAACATAAGTGAAATTAACTGGCACAGTCTGTGTATTCACAACTGTGTGTCATGTTGGTGTGTTACTCACCGCCAGCGAATAAGTGTCTGAATGAGCCCTGCATAGCCCTGAGCTGCAGCCAGATGCAGTAAGGTCATTCCTCTGGAGTTCTTACTGTGAACAAGCTGATTAGATGAAGCCCAGCATGGCTGAGACATCATCTTCTCACACACCACCACCACCCGGCCCTCGAATGAACCCTGATCGGTAGAAATCTGGGAAATGGGAGAGAAAAAGCGCATGGTGAATCTTAAGAGTTTCCAGGAGTTTAATATACAGCATGTGTCTGTCAAACATGTTTTTCAAGGTGTCACAAGGGTTTGTTTTACAGAGAAAGAGTCTACTGTTAGACAAATTGCAGAGCCTCTGACTCCTTGAGAGCTAGAGGGTCTGTAACATGCTTAGACTGTTATAAAGTCATAGATTTAACACTGTCGGCGGGGTGACCTAATACCTGAATGACTTTTGCAATACAATAAAATTCAGGAAAATATACCCTCATCACATGCCAGTCAGCTTTGATTAAGATTATATCAGAAAATACCACAGAGTAGATTCAACACCTCATATTTCTGTCTGAGTTCCAAAAATTGTGGGCTTACTGTAGGAGCTGAAGACTTGATTTAATTTTATGACTAAAGCAATTTCTGTTTTGTGTATGTCGTGAACCTGTGCTGCTCACTTGATACTGTTTCAGATTATAAAGCTGAAAATGTGACCCAAACTACATCACTTCTTCCTGCCCTTACTTGAGACTGCTGATCGGTGGCTCCTCCTCCTTCCACTCCACCGCCCTTGGTTGCCATGGTTTCTGAGCTGGGGTTCTGATTGGTTATCTCAGCCATCCTCTGTTCCATCTGCTCCAGACGCTCCAAGATGGACATCCTGAACTGGGTATCTACAGCAATAAAGGTGAGACACGCAGAGCCGTAAGCGTCGGCTAGTTGTTTGTTGCATTTAAGGAAATCAATATTGTGTTTTAGTAAATCCTACTTAGAGAGGCTTAGAGAGAGAAGCTCTTCTTTGTGGGGCTCAATACTGGAGAATAAATCCTGACTGAAATCCAATAATTCCCAACAATGGGAAGTTGGGAACCAAGTAAAGTATGTGTGTTTGTGAGTGAGAAAGAGTATACATCTCACAACAAATGTCAGTTTTGTGTGTCTGTGTCATGGCTATAGTGGGAATGTGACCCTTTGTTTCAGTGCCACTGCAGTTTTGCTGCAGTGCACATTATGTCATCCCACCTGCTGCTCTCTCACTCAGTCTGTCTATTTTTCTCTCATCTCATTTCGCTCCTATTTTTCCTTGTGCTGGCTGGCAGCCTCACACACTGAGCTGGAAAGGTGGAGCCATGACAGTGACAGAAAGGCTCAGGCTCCTCCCTCCCCTGCTCCACCAATCAGAAGAGGAGCAGAGTTTTCTGGAAATACAGCTTTGTTGGATACAGAGCAAAACACTCCATTGTGTCATCTGCCAAATACATAAGAAGTAGCTGTCTTCACCCATCATAACTGCACACACACACACACACACACACACACACACACACACACACACACACACACACACACACAGATACAAATACAGATGCATAAAGACACACAGAGAAGGAAAAGCATATATTTCTGGCCACATAACAATCATGTAGTGTCATGCAACATTTTAACAACAGAAAAGGATGACTGAGAAGACTGCAGGGATTGACATCTGCTGTGAGGATATTTTTTTGTGCTGAATTATAATAACTTAATTAACTGATACATTAAAATATAATTATAAAGCTGACAAATATTAATTTCAATTAGGTAATTAAATAGGGATGAAATGGTCCTTCATTTATCTGCCTGTACATGCTACTTGAGTCTAGATGCTGCAAGTCTCATGTTATGAAGGATAAAGAGAAATACAAGAACATTGGCAACTCCTCCTTTAAAAGTAATTTTAGGAATTAATTATAAAAATAATGAGTGTAGTCACCATGTCAAAGCATGCAATTATATCTTTAATAACCACATAATTTAAATGCAAATTTAATACATTATTTTATATTACCATTAAAATACTGCACACATATTCTGGTGGCACACGCTTCTATAAAAGCCTCACAGGATTACAGATGACTTATTGTCCTGCTCCTGAATGAAAATTCAGCTGCTTTTCAAAGTTTGTTTACTACCCGGTACCTGTGGATTTACTGACCAGCTTTGGACTCTGACACCTTTTCTTGCTTTGTCTGCATGGATTCTTCTCCAATAAATGAGGCTTTGCACAGGTTCTCACCCTGACCAACCACAACACAGTTTGAAGTGACATCACCAAACTCTGATAACACAAATTCTGCAAAACCCAGTTTCTTTAAAAAGCAGACCAGTGGGACAAACTTCTGTTGTAAAGATAACAATAATTAATGGTCTTACACTACATTTAATTTAAATCAAATCAATGTCCAGGTTTTAAATTTCTCTATTTCACAGCTTTTCATCATTTGTTACATGCACATCAGCAATTCTCCATGTATTCAAATTCATTTGAAATTAGTTTGACTCACTGATCCTGTTCTTCAGTCAAGTTAAATGAAACATGATTCATTAGACAAACAGGCTTTTGGCTCATATGGAGTAACGTTCACCGGTAAACATGAACATCTAAAATATGTAAACATCTTCAGCACAGAGTGTGTAGTTATGTGTTCAAACTTTGGGTGATCAACAACATGCCCACATGTGCCTACAGGCTTGGTATTATCTGGGTCTCTGCAGGAGCCACATTAGCCTCTCTTCGTGTGTTGTTATGGAGCTCAGAGGCGCTGTCCACTACTGGTGGTGCTGAAGCGGAACAGATCAACCAACAAGGCTAAAAGAAATCGAGCAGGCTCTCGCGTGCCTTTCAGTTCGAACATCTATCGTGCAAACAACGCGAGGACTTGTGGCATTTTGTCCCTCTCTTTGTCTGCAATCGACAGACGCTGGGCACCACATGTAGCCTACTCCAAATATTGTGACTGAAACGTGAAATAAAAATATTTTAAGGCTTTATAGTGATGACATCGGGATTTAGACAACAGGCACATGTATGTCCGTCTACAGCAGCACGGCAAAAAAAAACAAAAAAAAAACCCAGCTACAAACAACACAGACCTGAACGACAACGAATGAGCGCGTTTTAAAGTTATCATCAGTTTAAAATCAAACAAGCTACGAACCCAAACTGCGAGTCGCTCTATCTGCTGCTCTCTGTGTTCCCGCGTCTGCTCAACCCCGTTAGTTTGAAGTGTGCGACTCACACATTGCTAGTCCGACCGAGCAAAACACAACTAAGTGCAGAGGGAGAGAGAGAGGCAGAGAGAGGGGGAGAGAGAGCACCAGTCTCCACGTTGTGTCTGGCAGCAGACACGCTTCAAATCAAATCGGCCCGCCAGACTCGGAGCTGCAGGAGGCTCGGTCGTCATCGGTACAACAATAGACTGCACACAAACTAAACTGGGACAATGACATGTGACACAGACGTGTGCTGGCGCATATTTGCTTAAAATGATCTGTCTATTTTTTTCACAGGCAGTGAGTCTTTGATGTAGGATTTGAGGCCAAACAAAGGACCTGAGCGAAAATAACCAGAGCGCATATCCAGCTCTAGGCATCATCGTTGAAAGTCAAAGGCTGAGTCTATATACAGCGTCTCCGGGGCTGCACAGCACAGTGCCAGCGGTGCCCAACATTTTTGACTCTAAAGTGGACCGCGATTGTGCCTTGATGTCCTTCACTCCAGCAAACAGCCAGCCTGCTGTGACTGTAGAGCCGCATTGCCGCATTGCGCAACGCAGAGACGGGGGCGAACTCAGTGTAACCGAGGACATGCCTCGCCGAGGAGACCCGTGTTTTTCCGAGCTTCAGTTGCATCAGGAGATATATTTGCACAGAGAAGCTAACTCCCCCCACCCGGGCTGTGCAGATATTTGCAACCAATCCCCCAGCGGTGACTCAAAGAACATTTAATTGTCCTCCAACATCTCACAGTATGTTTTAATTTGATTCTGTATCATTGGAATCTCACAAGAACAACATCTACAGCGCCAACAAAATTATGATTTTGAGAGATTAAATAGATTCTTCTCCAACATGCAAAGACTCACAGTGGGCTCCATATTAATAGATTAATAAATTAGACAAAGCCTAAAGCCTTTATGAATGGGGACTGTGAAGATTAAAAGTACAGGTATATAGGCTACACTCACGCCTTTCACAGAACAGGTGTCAAAACTGTGTAGGTTCCTAGATTCCTTCCTGCATTAATCTGCAAGCAGGGTGTCAATAGAAAAAACAGCTGCACCCAGGCACAGAAGAACACAATTCAGCCAGATAGCTCGTCGACCATACTGGTCAGTACATCTATGCCTGTAGACAACACATCTCATAACATGACAGAGCACAATGACACCCACCCCCCCCCACACACACACACACACACACACACACACACACACACACACACACACACACACACACCCCAACAGGTTTTCTCACAGCTGATCAAAAGTGACAGAGGGCTAGGTGTAAAAGGCCACAAAAACAGCAAGAAGGAATAAGAAAAGGATATATAATGTATGATAATGTGGGGAGTAAAAATACAACAGTCAAATGCTTGACCTTAATGTTAAAAGAAATAAATATCATAACATTCGCTTTCTTGCTATGCTGTATTTGTTATTGACAAATGCAACACTCCAGGCATTGAGTAAATAACATCAGACTACAAGAGTGTAACGGTGCGTGCCTGTGTGGTCAAAAAACCATAAACAAATGCTCTCACCATCAAGGGACAGCCAGTCATGCTGAGAAGATGGCAGGGCAGGAAGGTCACGCGCCTTGTATTCAAACACCACAGAGGAAGAGATGACCTCTCCGCCCATAGCTACCTGCAGCATCACCAGTCCTGTGTCATGTGCTGGGAAAAGACATTGGGTAAGGAGTTAATAAGACTGACTGTGCACGCAGATAGAACTCCTGTCGAAGAACAATTTCAGGACAGTATGTTAACCATTATATACTGTGAATGTCTAGTATTGCTTTTGCCCATGTGTGCCTGCAAGAGACTATTTACTTTGCAGTTTTCCCCTGATCACACTTAATGTAGCAGGATATGACTCATGTATCACTTACTATGCATCCCAAATCATTTCTAAGCGTAACTGTATTCATTGCGTGCTTGCTAGAGATTGTCCCTCTTCACAATTTTCTTTTTGTGTTGTTTCTTGTCTTCTTTTATAAAAGGGACTGCATCTCCAGATAAGGGTGTGCTGCCGACATTGTTAGACTCTTTCCTTTGCTAGAAACAGCTTATTGTAGGGATAAGTAGGGTGACGGTTGCGGCAAGGTTTCCATTTAAAAATTAAAGTTTTTTCCCTTGTATGAGACAGTGATACAGAGTGAGTGTGTGTTGTGTGAGTGTGTGCATACAGGGGTGTATTACCTGGGCAGTAGCAGCGCAGCACCCCGGGTTGGATGAGGGCAGCAGGGACACTGATGTGGTCAAATAGACAGCTGTACTCACTGCTCGACTCCAACCACGGTCCTGTGATCAGCACTTTCACTCCACCCTGCGGCACATACACAGAGGTCTCATATCACACAGCGTAGCTTCTTTGTCCACAGGAAACTGCTTCTGAGTACAGGTTTAAATGTAGTTACCAAAGAGAAATGGGAGTCTGCATGAGAGTAAGACACATCCCTGCATGCATACTACAATGTTCTGTTGTCATAATTTACGTGTGTGTGTGTCATTGTGCTAACATGTATTTCAATGAGCTTGTGTGTGTACACAGAATTTCTATCAAATATCCCAATTCCACCTGTCCCGCACAAAAACATAACTCAGAGACACACTGGTCTAAATTTTTTTCTTTTTTTTTTTTTAATATAAATTTAAACTGAGAGACATCATAACTTGGTCTTTTAAAAAGTGGTTATTATATTGTTGATGACAAATGTATGTGAGTCTGGTAGCAGCCCCTAGAGGCTGTGCTGCTCCTCACAATCAAGTGGATCCAAATAGTTAGAACCATCTGAACAACCCTGCCATGTGTTTTCTTCAGTGTAGCTAAAAATAATACATAAACAACATATTGTCCACCAAATGTTGGAGTGGAGTATACAACAACTCAAAAATGTTAGATTTTTAAAGCCATATACCAGCATTTGGTTGGGGGTTCTTTTTTGGCATTTGCAGCGCTTATTTTTAGTTAGTTCTAAATACTATGCTATCACCTTTGGAGCCTTTAGAGGAAAACTTTTTTTTCCAAGAAACCGAAAACTGAAATAATCAGCATGATGCAACACTGATGATCCTGGAAAAAAAGTTGGAAGGAGAAAAATATCACCTGAATACGTGCGCATGATGGAGATAAGGTTAGTTAATAAAGTTTTTTTGGACATTTTTTCCCACTAATTGTATTAACCATCTTTGGCAAGTCATTGTGTATTTGAAAACGATGGTGTTAAGATGCTGTTTCCACAAATTTCATCATAATTCAATGACAGTACTGGTGTCTGAGATATTATAAGTGGTACATGGCTAAATTAATGAAACCACCCAGGGGAATCAGTGTAATATTGAAATTTCATCAAAATCCAATCAGCTGAGTCTGAGATATTCTGACTCGTTAATGACCACACAGCCAGGCTGGCGGTCTTTGTACAAACTGTGCTGAGCGTTATTTCAGCGTTTAACATCAGTACAAGCCACTGTCAATCATGTGGTGGAAGGACTGAATTTCCTGAAGGGAACAATGCTGAATAAATAATGAATGATATAATCATGTTGGGTTTACCAACCTCTGGATAAGACCACTCTGGGGAGTAGTCTGTCACACCAAACAGCCTCCCAGTCTCCTGGAGCAGTCCCAGAGCTCCCTGCTCCACCTCCGAGCCCTGCAGGTGGCCTGCTCCTGTGCACTGCTCCTCTCCTGCTGCCCCCTCCTGGGGCATCAGAACCCCAGTGACAGCTGCCCCCACCCCACCCCCCAGACCCCTCAACTGAGATGAAATCATTGATGAGATCAGAAAACTGGCTTCCAAATGAAGCCTCAAAGCCTTCCAGACTAATGGCTGCTCCTGCCCCACCTGCTGTAGCTGACACCCCCCCACCTTGCTGAGGAAGAGGAGAGCTGTAGAGCGTCCCCTCGATGCTTGCACCAGCAGCTATTGACTGAGGACTAGCCACAACTGAACTGCTGGCCCCTGACAAACTTACACCATTACAGAGAATCTCATTTCCCCCTCCTCCTCCCCCTCCTCCACCACCCCCACCCCCGCCCTCCTCTCCTCCTCCATTGTCATCTGTGGGTTGCAGGTAGTGCTCGGTGTCGACACTCGTGTAGGCCTCGTGAGGATCCCCAGGCTTGAGTAGTAACTCCCCTCCATTCTCAGAAGCCTTGTCTAAGCCCCCAACCTCTCGATGTCTCCTGCTGCCTGACTGGTCGACGGTCACATCCTGTGATGCAAGAGGAAAAGAGCCCACTGCGGTTCCTTGTCCGTTCCTTCCACACAGACCCTGCTGATCTGAGCTGGTTTGGTGGAGGTGTGTATGCGGGTCTCCATTGGTGACCGGAGAGTCTGTTGGCACTGTGGGCAGGCTTATGTAAGCCTGGGACTCGCTTGATTCCTGGGTTGCCTCAGTACCATTGGTTTGCAGCTGGGAAGGCTGGCTTGTCTGCGGGGAAGTCTGGAGGAAGAGGCTGGGGGAGGGGTGGTGTGCAGGCTGGGTCAGACTTTGGACACAGGCGGATGACATCACAGCACTGAAGTCCATCTGCTCCAGGGTGGTGCTGGGGCTGAGGCCTGTCCCTTCTCCCACATAGCTACTCTGAGTGGACAGGGGCTGCTCCAGAGGTGTAGTTTCCGTCTTGATGTTGTTGACAAGGGCTGGGTTGTACACAAAGCCGTTAGTGAGTCCTCCGTCATCACCGTTACACCCCTCGGTCTTCCCTCCACCTCCTCCATACGTCTGGCCCTGCTTGGGATTGTTGAGGAAGCAATCAGGGTCAAATGTCATGGTGGTCTCAGGGAGGCTGACTCCTCCACCAGAGTCTAGAGAGCTGGACAGAACCAACTCTCCTCCCTCCCCTAAGCCCACGGCACCCGGAAACGACGTAAACCTCTGGTTTTCAGGGGCCACAGCCAACAGGATGCCAGCGGTGGTGCTCTCGTGTGTGGATGCTAGCAGATGGGTGTGGCCAGCAGAATAAACCGAATCCCCAGTCAGGGTGGTGACCTCAGACATGAAGACAGCTGTGCTCTGTGACAAGCCGGCCCCAATGGCGAGAGCGGGGCTATCGGCCATGTCGCTGGTGATTGACAAAGGGGAGCTCTGGGTGGTGTCAGGGACCTCCACCTGGTTGGTGGAGGTAGATGAGGACACTTCCATGCTGCTCTGCGGGAGAAGGGAGGGTTTGGTTATCCTGCCATTCCTCCTCTCTCCTCCGCCCGCTCTGCTCCTGCCTCCTCCAGGACTGGGCTCGGTCTGACCCTCTGACACATCGCTGTTTTGGACCTCTGTGCCATCTGCCTCCTCAGCTCTCTGGCCTGCTGCTACGCCGGTACCCACTGCAGCTCCACCTCCTGCTGCTGCCCCTGACTCCTGCTTGGATGAGATGATGCGCTGCTTGACACTGGAACATTTCTGATGCAGGCTGCTTCCAGCACCTGCCAGAAGAGACATTCAAACAAAGGAAACATAATTTAATACAGTGCAAACTGTCTTCATGTTCTGTCCTTTCATTTGAACAGGTCAGTCTCTGTAGTAATGTAGCGTTACCTCATATACATTTGACAGTGTGTATTGGCGCCCTCCAGTGTTCAGATTGAATGTACACTGAAAACTGAGATCATCAATACTCTGACAACACTATTGAGATGCTTGAGTGAACACTTTAAATACATATATGCAAAATGTGCAATATGCTTCTTTTGACAGACATTTCAATTCTAACATCTGAGGTTATTTCCAGTTGTTAAATTGGATGTCTTTATTTACATTTTTGTGATTTGATTCATTTTCAGACTGAAATAACAAATACCAAACAGATTAACTGTCAGAGACCTAAAGTCCAGACAAAACCCCTGTGGTCACGGAAGGATCAAGTCAGTAATCAAGAGACTGCATCAAGTGCTTGGAAAGGAAAAAACTGTATGCTGTTTTGTGTGAGCAAATTAGGGCAGCAAGAGGGAATATGATTCAGTGGAGAGAGTGAGAAGTGAGGTACAATTTAAGGCAACAAGCCACTTAGTTTTGGGCAGCTGTCCTTATTTGCCCTTCCAAAACAGATCAAAAGATGGGTGAGATTAGGTAAGTGTGTGTGTGTTTGTGTGTTAGTGTGTGTGTGTGTGTGTGAGTACTGGATTTATCCACTCCCTGATGCTCATTTATGAATAATACATGCTGGATATTTTGGGCACCTCTGTCTTCTTTCCCTCTATCCCTCCCTTTCTTGGGTGAAATGTGTATCTGCCCCTAGGTGGCAGCATGATGCTGACTGTCAGAAGCATCATAAACAAAAAATCTAAATCTGGTTAAAGCCCGGCTGAATGGTCTGCATACACTGAATGTCCCTTCATAAGGTGTATTTTTAAAGGACAATGTTGTCTTTAAAAATATCCCTGCTTTGTGAAGTGTTGTTCTGACTTCATGTTGACAGGAAAGACATGATGATCCAAAGCTTCATTCATCCCCCAAACAAAAAATAAAATCCCACTGTTAACACCTGAACGCGCCTTTTGGCAAGTCCAGCTGTCGGTATTTGGCGTGTTGATTTATCAACATATCAATAAGATGTTTGTGCTACATTATTAACAATGCCAAGATTAGATATTTTTACTTGATGCAAGAGAGACATTTCATCTCCCCTGAACCGCTGAAATCACCTGTTGTCTCATCTGATAAGTAATGGCACAGCTCCAGACTGCACTCCAGTCTGCTGCCAAGTTATTTAAAAGCTCAAGTTTCAAAGCAAGCCAGCGAACCAAAACATCTGTGTTTTAGATTTACTACACTGGCTTCCCACAGATACAGGCTAGGCTATGGTACGTCGTCATCTTTTTTATCATTACTGCACCATGACAAGTAGTATTGTTATTGACCCAAGGTGACTCAGGCTTCCATGTTTAGGAAAAGTGCGGGGGGTGAAACAGGAGAGCTTGAGAGTAGGAGGGAGGTGAGTGCTGAAATGACGGTAACTGACGGTGAGCTAACTCACACATGGGTTTGAGTTGTCCAATGAGCTCCTCCTTGCTCCACTTGGCCCACTCCTTCCTGTCTGTGTTGATGGAGCAGAGGACAGGACCACATGGCTTCCCGCTATCGTCCACTGCCGGTACATTCAGGTAGTGCACCAGCACAATGTCAGGGTTCTAGAGCACACGGGAAATCACACAAACACAGAGACATGCAAGCACATGGCATTAGTTTTACATGGCCTTTATTCATTAATTCATTGTCATGTTTTTACTGGCATATGGGAGGCAGACAATAAAATGATAGGGTCTATTTACAGAGGAAGAGGAAATGGAGAGGGAAAGCGGGAGAGAACGTAGAGGTCAGAGAGGAGGTCGGATATAGCGTGTCAGATAAGATTCTCTCACCTGCCCATAAAAGATTTAATAGCTCAAGCCCACTCATCACTCTTTCTGACCCTGCAGAGGCTGTGGAAGTGTCTACATGTATGTTTGTGTGTGTGTGTGTGTATATATATTTATATATAGATAGTGAGAGAGAGAGAGAGAGAGAGAGTGCGGTTCAGAGTATCTCTCACTATACTGTAGGTCACCAGCAGACCTATGGAATTTCTACACCATGAATGATTCAACAGGTGCGTTCACATGCATGTGTGTGTGTGTGTGTGTGTGTGTGTGTGTGTGTATGTGCGTGAGAAATAAGCGAGAGAAGCTCCTCTTGATGAAAGATTCAGAAGACAGACTCAGGTGAGGGGGAGGACCTGCTGAGGTGGAACACTTTTCTCTCCAAAAGAGGATGGCACAGTGGGCTGCTACAGCACCACACTGTGCAATGCAACAGCACTCACAGACTGATTTATGATCACATTCACTGAGGTGTTTTGATATTTGCGCAAAGAGCAGAAAATGGCACTTTACAGATAAAGCAAGTAGAATTGCCCTTCATAATTTCACACTGCCGGAATCTAACTATGGGCATGCTGAAAAAGAAAATATATTGAGTAAGGGCATATTCAATTTATGGCCGGTGGCTGGAATGTCCTTGTAAATTTCATGTGACAAATTATGCAGGAAATTCTGGCGAGGAATACATAAATATGTATGCATTTCCATATTTTAAATGAACATTGCTGGGTATTCAATATTTTTATTGAAATGAACAGAGAGAGATGAAGAGACAGGAAGTGTAAATGCATGCGGGCACGTTTAAGATTCATCATGTAATCTGTCGTCTAAAGATGATGTCCAGTTGACCATCTCTTGCATGGCCAATAGAGGGAGAGACGTGTGGTGTGTGTGTGTGTGTGTGTGTGTAACTGCTGCTCTCCGATGCCTTTCACATGAGCAATAGGCTGATTCCAGCATCTCTATGAAAAACAACACACAGGGGACACCTGCGCATGTGTGTGTGTTGGTGCGAGCATGTTGTTGTGTGCTGTTTGTAGCTGCAGGGTGTTTTCTTGGAGAGGACCACATAGAGAGTAGTCCTTGATGCTCACTCTAAGTATTAAGAGTCAGGGTTCTGTAACACACTGTGCTCGGGAAGCTACAGTCAACTTCTGGCAGACAAATGTTTTTACTACTCTGCACTGTGTGTTGTTTGCATTACACTAGGCCTATAAGCCTGGCATATTCAAGTTATATTCTAGTGGTCTAACTGTGTGTGCGTAGTGTGGAACACTCAACACTCCAGCTAAAAAACATCCTGTTTTATTATGACATCAGTTTTGTGACAGTATTTCCACTACAGTCTGCCTCATTAATTTAGAGCAGGAGGATGGTTTATGGTTTAGTTAAGGTAATAGTATTTTGTTTTGAAAATATAATGGACAGTTTCTGTGGAATAGTGAATAAAGCTTTAAAAATGTTACAAGATGGTCCTAATGTGAGGACAAAAGACCCGAAATGAGTAATAATAAAATATCACCATGCTATAGATGCTGTCGAAACCTTGTTTTGTATGCATATATATGTCTGAGAAAAGGCAAGGTGGGGAAGGGGGGTGGACTTACCTGCAGCAGCCAATAGCATCTACGATGGAAGGTGGGGATGATGGAGGAGTGGACGTAGCAGCCATACAGACACTAGAGAGAGGAGAGGAGAGGAGAGGACAGGAAAAGAGGGGGGGGGGGGGGGGATTGCAGAGGTAAACGAGAAAAGAAAAAGGGAGGAAGCAAGACAAAAGTGAAAAAGGAGAAGAGGAGGAGAGGACAGTAAATGAGAACAGGAGAGGAGAACTTAGGTTATACCCACTTAGGCTGTATTGATTGCGGTGCTAAAACTGAAGTGCAAACATGCTGTATGCCTTTTTTTCCTAATGTCTTTTCTAAAATACCATAAACCTGATGTTGACAATTACAGCACAAGAGATTGTGAGATTTACTGCCTCAGCAAGAATAGACATAACCCACTTGGAATTCACAAAAAGTCACAATGTTGTCAGCTCACAGACACTGCAAGAGAGATCAGTAAACAGTGAAGAGGACAAAGATGAGGAGGAGAAAGCGAGGAAAGCACAGAGTGAGAGTGGAGTGTCAGGGTGGACAAGATGAAGAGGTGGTTCAGTAGGGACTCCATCTAGCAGAGGATGCTTACATACATACAAAATATCGTGTGCATGTGTGTGAGTGTGAAAATAGACCAAAAGTATGATTGCAGATGTTGATTTAGAGATTTAAACGACTTCAGAGTGTTTTTGCTGAGCTGGATGCCGCATGATGAAATACAGTACCTGAGTTTCTGAACCAATACCAAAACTGAAACCTTAAGTTGAAGAATATTATAATGTTTCGCTAAAAAAACTCATTTCACAAAGTCAGCTAAACTTCTCAAATGCATCAGTATCCAAGAACTTAACTTTTAAATAAGCAAACAAGACAAAAGAGTCTGACCAAGCATTCAAAGCCAGATTCCAGTTTCTTGATCCAGTTTTTGATCTTCTGTGCCATGCAAACATTTCTACCTATTCTCTGTAAGTACTGAGGGTCGATACCCAGTCTTGATGAAGTGTGTGTTTGTGCTGTTTGACACTGGAAGGATGAAATGATGACAGAAAGCCTTCTATCAAGGTCATCACTGTCACTTTTTCACATGCATTTTCAAAATTCAAAATTAAGGATCACACAAACAAATAAACTGGTTGTGTTTAAAGACAAAATTGCACACACACACACACACACACACACACACACAAACACACACACACACAGTATGGAAAGCATACACACACAAAGACTCAGCAATCAGGCTGTATATAATCAACACTCACAACTCATTCTGTTTTCCTTCACATACGCACGCGCACACACTTGTATTTTCTCGCCATTTTGCCTCTTCTCAGAAGTAGCCCGCCCTCTATCTAAAGTGTGCTTTGCCAAAGGCAGAGTGCATTTCCATATATTTCCATTCGGTATGAGGAGGCTCTCCATCCAGGGTTATGTTTTTCTCTCCTGCTTCCTGCCTCTCCCATCCTCTTTCTCTCCCTCTGCTCATCTTGCTGCTCTGCTCATTCCCTTTTTCCTGTCCCCTGCTCTACGCACTGCTTGCTTGCTTGCTTGGGGGGGTCCCTGGGAAGACGTGACACAAACAATTACTGAGCAACTACCAGAGAGAGAAACACTTGCTTTTGTATATGTGTTTGTGTGTGTGTGTGTGTGTGTGTGTGTGTGTATTCATGCATGATTGCAGAAAAAAGTATGTGAGATTAATGTCAATGTGAGTGTGGGGTCGTAAATAATAGAGGTGCAGACGGGAATACTTGATCTCAATTATTCCCTTTACCTCTGTGTCTCTTTTGCCTGTCTCCAGCTTACTTTCAATGCAAAACTATTGAGCCCTCTGCAAACATCCATGTGCCTCCTGTCTCCTTCACTCTCCCTTCTACCTCATTCTTTGTTTCTGACACATGCATGCTCACTCCTCTCACCTCTTGGTATATTCCTGCTGAATAATCAATTTTTGAGCTGGCTGATGTGGCTCAAACACACACACACACGCTCACACACGCACAGACGCTGCCTTGAGACTGGATCGATACCCCTCTCTGTTCTGCTGAAGGAGGCATTGACATCATTCATGGCCTCAGGCCAAACACACTCTTATCCTTCAGAAAGAGAGAGAGGGAGACAGAGAGAGGAAGGGAGACAGGGACATGAGCAGGGAGGGAAATAAAGATAGAGGGGCACCACTCGCTCTCAGGTAACACGTTGGCCTGTAGCTTTGTGTGTTTGTGTGTACGTTTGTGTAACACATGTGTGTCTCCTCAGAGTGAAGGAGAGTAAGTTATGGACAAGATTGGCAGTGAAACCATACTTGGCGCCAAACAACATCATCGACTTGTTTTTCCATTGCAGCCTCTCACCTCTACTCCCTGGACTTTAAGCTTCATATGATCCTCTCGGGTGGTCTTCCCGTCTTTCCTTTTCTTCCAGCAGTAGCCATCTTTCCTGTACTTCACCTTCTTACGGTTGTAGAGGATCATAGAGCCATTTTGAGGCCTGAGTAAGTGAAACAGACAGACAAATGGGCATAGTGTTGCATTATATTAATTACACAGAATAAATGTTCTGCTAACTTCTTGAAAATTTTAATGATTCAACTGGAAACTGACCAGAAATAATTTTCATGCAGTAATTTCAAGTAGCAAAATTCTCCTGCATTCCTGATTCATAAACACCAACTACCACAGTTAAGTTAGCTGGTCCCATGCCGCCCCTCCCCTCTTACGCGTAGACTAACTCTCCTACGTGTTAATATTTTAGTAGGGTGATTTATCAGCACAGCAGGAACATTGGCCTCTAAGCTCCCATTCTATATACACGTGTTGGGATGAACATGCGTGCGCACACACACACACGCACACCAGGAACAACACATGTAGAAAGAAAGAGATGCTGTAGTGATATCAGAGATGGCAGGACCTACCGCTGTGTGTTCTTTGGGCTCAATGTCAAACCTGCTGCTCAGCAATCAATCATTACGCTTAAAATGTTAAGGACAGGTGTGTGTGTGTGTGTGTGTAGGTGGAGGAAAAATGTTTCTCTGCCTTATCTCATGACAACAGAAACAGAACAGGCACGTTAACAATCAATAAACTACCACATACTCACAAGGGCTCTGTCTCTCTCTCTCACACACAGTGATGTGCACGCATGCACACGACCACACACGCACGCGCACACACACACACACACACACACACCTACACACACAGTTCATCTCTCCTTTTCCCCGCCCTCCTCTTCTCGATCAACCTCTAGTCTTTCTCCCTCTTATCATAGTATCTCTTCATTTTCTCTTTACTGCTTCTTCAGTCCCTCCTTTCTCCACTCCTTTGCACTTATTGTCATCTTCTCAACTCGTCTATTCCCTCTACTCCTATCTTAACCTCTGTTTCAGCTTCTTTTATTGACTGTATCCTCTCCTCTCCTCTCCTCTCCTCTCCTCTCTGCTAGAATTTAATGTAGACACATCTATATGGACTGAGATGATTGTAATTTACTCAGAACACTGTGTGTAGTGAAATTGAATTTACTTTGAGCTGATTTTCTTTGACACCTTAAATCTGTTCTGTTTTGGGGTGAGCCTGCCAGTTTCTTAGCGGAGTGGAGACCCCCACCCTCCGATCAAAGCCGAGTTTAGACTCTGTCTCGAGCAGTGTGAGTCATCTCAGAGCTGCTGATTCTAATTATGTTATGGAGAAGATGGATGAGATCAGATGTGTGTGTGTGTGTGTGTGTGTGTGTGTGGGTGGGTGGGAAATACGTGCATGTTGATGTGTATGTGTGCATGCGCGGAGGTATGCGCACGTGGACAGTGCCCATGTTGCTCACAAACCCTCTGATTCAAGCAGACATAAATGCTATTGATTGTAACTGGGCTGTGATGTGTGGGATATAAAAAGCTTTTCCACCGTTCCACAGTGTAGCAGAGCGAAAACAGAGAAGGCAAGGGGAGGAGAGTGGGAAAAAAAGACGGCAAGATAAAGAGACAGAGTGGGCGAGTGAGTGAGTCCGGTAAAGGGAGGAGAAGAGGAGGAGTAGATGAGAAAAGTGAGAGGAGAGGGAGAGAGTAGGTAATAGTCATTACTTTGAACTGCTGAGGTATTTCAGTGAGGGGAGAAATGAAGGTCATTGATTGTTATCTTAATATTTCCCCCCACAAGTGTGCAAACGCACATGGATTTTAAAAAGAAGACACACACATACAAGCACAGCGATGCACACACATAAATGTCACTGGCTCCGTTAGCTGAGCTCCTTTCCATCTGATGGGATTAGGTGTAATCTGTTCTAATCGCGCCTCGTGTCATGTGTAAATGGGATTATATCTAACTGCTGCTCAATAACACCAATATGACTGCTGCTGCTGTCTGTTGCTGCTGGGAGGCTGAGGCTATACGGCAGCACAACCAATCAATGAGAAATCCATCCACAACATAAACTGTGCTGCTGGCCTCTGGCTGCTCCTGAGAAGAGTCCTTCAGCTCGCACAATGGGAGCGCAGAGGCATCACCCCGGGCTTTCACCGGTGTCAGTAATCAGAAAATGGGGCCATGAGGTGACCACTTCAGTTACTTTACTTTTTGTTTTTTCTTCTTTTTCTTTTCTATCTTTCTCTCTTTTTTCTGTATGTCTTTATTTATCACACCTACATCGGGATTAATTAAAGCAAATGTCAGTAAGGTGATTTATCAATAATTCACCCATTTTTCCCAGTCTTTCTTTTTTCTCTTTCCTCCCTTCCTAGCTTCCTTCCTGACTATAACATCTCCCCATTATTGGAAAAGAGCTAACTTTGGTTCATTCAGATCGATGAATATTCAGTTCTGGCATGTGAATCCCTGTTCACACCCCATCTTATATACACACACACCCTTCCTTTAACCCCCCCCCCCCTCCAAGGTCTGAATTATACATTGCCTATCCTAATACATTTACATTAATTAATACTCCATTTCCAGCTGACTAGGTGCTTTACAGTCCGGCCATGTTCTAGAGCGTTCTCTGCTTGTAGTGTAGGCTGTCAGCAGGACCCTTTGGAGACAGTCGACGTACATCACTTATGTTTTAATCAAACACAGGCACTCAGTCATTGGGATTAAACCAACGTGAGTTACTGGCTGATTGAGTGATGTTGTGTTTGTGCGTGTATTTGTGTGTGTATGTGTGGAAACCGCTGTCTGCATTCTCCTCACCTGGTTTTTGGCGATGTCGTCAGCCACTCATCGTGTTTCTCAAAAGTGATGAGATATGCAGCAATCTCCTAGAGAGACAAAGACAAGACAGAAAGGTTATATTAGTGTGTGTGCACGAGTGTGTGTGTGTCACCGGGAGATAAAACATAACAGGTATTTCCAGATGACCTGCCGATTCCCACAGAGAGTGTGTCACTATCTGATTGCCACGGTGAGGTCCGGGCGCCTGATTGGTCACAGAGCAGCCAGTCAGGAGGCAGATATAGAGGACAGACCCTAAGGGCCAACAACCAATCATGCTCACCGACACACTGATGTCTCCCTCCACTGGGGAGGAAAAGCTATCTCCTAAATACATAGACACATGCCACATAAACACACACACAGACACGCTGAGGGTGCAGACCCATACACTAGCTGAGCAAGTGTGCTGATAGGAAAAGTTTTCTTGTACTTTGCAGTTTCACAGTTTCCCGTCAGATAAAGCCTGCTCCTAACTTGACTCTTAATTCCTCCGGCTCTCTTTTCATCTCCTCAGCACTCCTCTCCTCTGCACACTGTTTCTATTCTTCTTCCACACTCACATAAATCCAATAAGGAAAAAAGAAAGTTCAAATCATACAGGTGCATTCTACCGAGAGCAAGGCAAAACAAAACGTCCATACACACAGACAGAGACACACAGAGACGCAGCCAAAAGAAACTAGTGTTTATACCTCCTGCTTTTTAGTTGCTCACGCAACACCGCCTTTTCCCTTTGCTCGGTGAACTCTCTCACCCCTGGCTTCCTCCTTGAAACATCATGCTCTCTCTCCCTATCTCTGACTCCCATCTCACCTACTTGTTGTGAAAGACTATGAAATGTAAATTGTCCTCTTAAGGCAATCAGTGTTTGAAATGTGGCACAAAGGAATAGTGAAGAAGACATCAACACTCCGGCACTCCTTCATCTGCCCCCTCAGATCAACAGTCTCCTCTCCAGACCTCCTCTCCCTCTCTGTCTCTTTCTGTGTGTGTGTGTTTAGGTATTTGTCCCAGTTTGGCATGAGAGCACTCCAGCTCCACACCGATCAGACGGGAATGAGGGACAAAGAGGGAGACGGGAAGAAAGGCAGGGAGAGACAAAAAGAGAGAGCAGCTGGAGGGTGCTGGCACTTAACTGGATTGTTTTTTTAGTATCCTCCATTCGATCCTCTCGCCCCAACCCCCCACTCACTGCCTCATCCTGCATTTATACTATATGTGTGCTTACATTTATTGTCTGTGTATGCATACGTGTGGGAGAGGCTGTCATCACACCCTTAATAATTACTACTATCAAGTTGGCCGCTGTTAATGTCTGTCTGTCTGAGGCACATAAAACATTTTTGCCATAGCTAGGCACAACAACATGCACACGCACACACACACACACACACACACACACACACACACACACACACACACACACACAAGGAGTGCCTCATTCACTTATGCATCTATTCATTAGCTGTGACAGGCAGCCACCTCTCCTCCTCCCAAACCACTCCGCAGCAAGTCAATATCCTATACGGCCTCCACAGTCCCGGCCAGGCACTTGGGCTCCCCTTGTGACTGTCAGCCAGTGGGAGGCGGGAGGAGAAGAAGAGAGGAGACGAGGGGCTGGGAGAGACAGAAGGATGGGAGGATTAAGGAGGGAGAGAGACTTGCAATTAAAGGCCTGCCCCATAAGAGCCATTAAAAAGCCAGAAACAGAAGAGTCAGCTGAAACGGCAGCCTCACACACACGCACACACACATACACACCCTCACTGCAGACACACACTGCTGCTCACTGCCTCACCAGCACACACACGCCCATGTGAAGAGTGACAGAAGTGAGATGGTGAAGGTCAATCCTCAGGAAGTCACAGTTATCGTCCCAGTGGAAACCAGTGATGGAGCGCTTTGAGCATGCCTGGCGACACAGTGACCCTTCAGGAATACTGTAAGTGTGTGTGTGCGCGTGTGTGTTAGCTGTGCCAGACACAGGGCCAGGGACAAGTATCTTTCTCCTGGGATCTACTCTAGAAACCCAGACGTTCTGCATGTCTGTGTGAGTCTACGTAATAATATATTACGACAGGCCCAGCACACACTCTTTTCCCAACACACACCTATTCCTGTCTGTCTGTGTGTGAGAGAAAGTGAGAAAGAGAGAGAGAGTTACTTAAGAAATATCTAACAAAGCAGAGCGCATGAGTGGGAAGTTAGATTGGAGCGAGCGATGCAGTTGGGGAAATCAGCCTCCCACTCACGCATCACTGAGACCATCTCCCTCCAAGAAACTGGTGGCATGTACAGAAAAGCAGACAGACAGACACACACACACACACACACACACACACACACACACACACACACACACATATACTCACAGGCCTTAGGGAGATTTCCAGAGGAGGGAGGGGATGGGGGGGTCGCCTACACTGCAACAGACTTATCCAGGAGCTTTCCCCAGGGAGATTCTGTTATAGGGTCTAGCCACAGGCTAGTGTGTGTGTGTGTGTGTGTGTGTCTGAGGGCGTGTGAGCGTGCACGTTTGAAGTCTAATGATGAGCATCACCCCGACAGAGATCTGGGGAAAACAGAGTTGTCTGTAAACTGGAACTGTCACATCCATTCCAAGTGCATCAAATGAAGGCTGCCTCTGGTTCTCACCACAGAAATCATTTGGCATTGAACAGTTTATTTTGGCGGTATGAGGAGGTAGCACACTGACGTGTCCTTTTCAACTGCAGAATCCATTTCTGCCTCCATCCTTGTGTGCGCTAAGTCTTGTATACATATACGGGGGAAAGAACTGCATTAGCATTACCAGGGGAGGTCTGCTGATGCTGTAATTTGTTCCCCAGTTCCTCCACCGGTTCTCTCCTTCCCAGAACAACCTTGTCAGTGTTTGTGTGATGTTGATAGACACTCTATCCAAAATTGACTCCTGTTTTTATTATTATTATTTTTTATTTTTTTTGCAGACCACAGGCTTCTCTGTGAATCGGAGGGTGGGGGTTGGAGCACTATCTCAGCCATTTGTTAAACCCACGTTTTATTGATCATGGGTCTATTTTTAAACATGCCTCCTTAATTATGTAAATTAAGCCAAACAATGACAATTTTATGCTAAACCTATATTGGTATACAGTTTGATTTGATCTGTGATAATCAATATTCCATTAGAATTGAGGTGCCTATGGGTCATGTCATTATCCACAGTGGTTACCGAAATGTGACAGGGCCAATCTTTCAGAATCACAGAGTGACCTCTAAAATCACCAATGTCATGGCTGCTTTTCCAAAGACTCAAAATTTCAGTCAGTCAGGAGACAGATAGATTATTATTATGTTGCAAAGAGAAAGCAGAATATAGAGAAGAGAAAGCAGAATAAAGAGAAGAGAAAGCAGAATAAAGAGTTAGTTGTGTTCGGCTTTAAGCTGACGTAAATGATGTGACTCCTTTTGTAAACCAGACCAATAACGTCTTGTTTGCACTATGTTCCTTTAACGTGGATAATTAAAATGTGTAGCACTCAAAAGAAAGAGTGCCCGACAATGAGTTACGATGAGGATAATTTTGTTCTGTTCTAGCCACACAATACAATTTCATCAAGTCTATTGTAAACCAGAGCAATAATGTGTAGTTTGTATTATATTCCCAAACTGCCTTGCTCCCCACTGTGTGTTACTTGCAACAGCCTTTATATTACCTCCACTGGCTAATACAACTGCTTAATGCTGTTTCCATAACAACTGTTGCAAAGCCCCTGATCAGAATTCCTCTCAAGCTTGCCTTGTGTTTATCATATAAACACCTCATCACACACTGGGCAACACACACATGCACGTCCACGGACATAAAAGACTTGCACACACATGCATACAAATGGCGTCTATTAATACACAAAGTCGCTTGGGTGAAAAAAATAAATAAATAAAAATCAAACTTGTCATGGATTCTCTCCTCTTGTTCTCACTGTGACACACGCTGCATGCACGCACACACACACACACACACACACACACACACACACACACACACATTTAGTGCTGGTCTATCATTGGAGGACAAGGTCTGACCTTCACAGGGAACCCGCTCCTGTCACCTGGTTGAGAGCGAGACATGTGTGTTACATCCATCTCTGTCACACCACAGCTCTCACTGCATTCATACACACACACACACACACACACGGACATACATGTACACAAAAATATCTCCTGTGTCAAAACGAATGCATGGTACCAGCACACGCATACACACAACAAACCCAGTGAGGCTTGGTCTCAGAAGAGAGTCTGTGTGGTGGCTGCTGCCCATGTGAGTGACGGCTTTATAATGAAATAGTCACTCTCCCCTCTCCTTCACTCCCTCACTCCCTCTCCTTTTGGTTTGACCTCTTTACTTTCTTCCCCCTCTCTCCCCCTCTCCAGCTCACCCACTTCCCTCTTTTTTCTGTCTCATTTCCCTCTCATCTCCCTTTTGCCAATATATAGAAGTCCAAATGGTGAAGGTGGCTACACACACACACACACACACACACACACACACACAACCTAACAGTATGGAAAGCAGCACAAACTTTTTTAGCAGGGACCTGAAAGTAAAGAAGAGTCAGCCCCAATCCACTGGGGGAACATCAGTCATATTTTTCTAAGACTTCCTCTCTCTTGCGCACCTTACCTGTCCTCTTCCTCCTATCTTGTATTTGCATTTGAGGAGACTGCCCCCCCCCCTCTCAGCAGGGGGGTGAACACATCAAAGACAGCAACAGGTGTGTGGTGTCAAACACAATGCCAGGACCCCTGCTGCGCTAGAGCGTCTTGGATAAAGCTTGTCGGGAGTCCTCAAAAACTCCCACAAAGTTAACCAGGAAAGGGTGCACGCATGCACACACACACATATATATTGAAATCTGTAATGACAGATGTGTGTTTGCCAGTGGGAGGTGGAAGAAGACAGAGAGAGGGTGGGGAGGGGTGTCTCAATGAAGGAGTCTCAAGTGGTTGTGTTAACCCCTGATGCCTTATCTCACCGTGAGTCATTCTGCCCTCC